GCAAAGAAACACTTCAGCTAAACAAATGAATGGGAAAACAGTAACTAAATCAAACAAATTTTGATTTTTTGCTAATGAGTTATGTTAAAATGAATGTAGATTAATCAACAGTGCAGCTTTTAGCAATGGTTTTCTGACCAAGTGATGAGTTTCTTCTACAGACAGACTGTAAACCAACACAGCTGTTATTTAAAAGCCATAAAATGTCTATGGAAGAAAATATATCTAGCAGTGGAAAAACAGCATGTTTGCAGCTGAATTTTCCCCAGCTACATTTGATACAGGGTGCCTGTTTTCTGACGGTTGAGTTTGCATCTATTTAAAAATGTTTCCTCTTAATACAGATCCTTCATCTGTAAGGTTTTTAAATAAGCTTCTATGTAAAACAGGATAGGGACAGAATTTTCACAAATGTGTTTTTATAAACCTCACAGAAGAAGGATCTGTTTTAAGAGGAACATTTTTTTTAATATATATGCAAACACAACTCTGAGAAACAGCCTTCATTCTGTATTAAAGGTTACTGGTGAGAATCCAGCTCTGCACACATGGTGATTTTCTCACAAATAGATATATGTGTTTACCAAGGACATAAAAAAAAATCAAATTAAGCTGCTGTTCAGAAAGTTTAAAAAGTATGAAACAAACAATTTACTTAAGACAATTTTCAGCAAAGTATGCTTTCACGTCCCTATATTAGGTCCTGCAAGCAAATACAGTAATAGTGAGTAAACTTTTTATTTATATTTCACAGAAAAGTAAGGGTCAGAAACTGCACAAAAATGCAATGAAACACAGATTCCAATGCCGTCGGGGAGTGGCTAGTGGTTAGGACATAGAGCTTGGAATCCAGAGGTTCTGAGTTTGAGCCCAAATCCCACAGCCTCCACTCTGGGTCCCTGAGGAAACACCCTTAAATCCACACTGGTACCTCACAATAGAAGCCCGTTGCTCCCTAAGGATGGGTTAAATGGAGAGAGTGAATTTTGTTACACTGTGCTTGTGACAATGAAATAACAATAAATTGGTGAGCATCTGAAAGGAAGAGAAACATAAAAACCAATTCAGTGCTTGTCTGCTTAACGTTGTTTGTTTCTTTCTTAAACAGAGCCACCTATGGAGCTAGTTGTTTCGAATGGAGCTAAAGTACCCAGAGAGAACCCACTCATGGAGGGAATGTCCTGCACTTGTTTCAAATTGTATTTGGACTGTTATGTTCTTTCCTCTGAATTCACAACCAGACAACTGTGAATTGAAATTAAGGTGTTATTCAAGCTTAATCACAGTCACACTTCTCAAAGAAATTCACAGCAACTTCCATCCAAAAACATGAATTTATTAACAACAATTATCAATTATAAACTCCATGATAAACATACTTTTGTTCATAACTTTAAGCCAAGCTAATAAAACTCAACTGAACTATATAGTCTTATGAACATATAGTACATGTGTACTTTATACTTTCTCAAGT